GCAGTCAACAGAAGACCTCTGTCTGTCTCTAAAATAAATGAGAATAATTTGTAGGAAAAAAAACAATACTGGTTATTCTTCAGGTGTTAAACTTTTCCGCTACTGTTTTTGAGACAGCCTTCATGCTAGTTCATAATATTCCAGTAGTGCTTTCCTCAATCTAATCTTAATCAGTGACAGAAATTGAATTTACATAAATCTGCATAAATAATTCAGCTATCTGCACTGCTCTAATATATTTTAAATGAATAAAATAAAATTTGAAGAGAATAAAACCCTCGATTTCCTTCATTTTCCTTTCTTATCGAAAGCAAGACAAGAGACTGTATAACCAAAAAGAAGGAATAAAAGCAGAACAGTATCTGAGGAGATCTACACTCACTTCCTTCTCCCACTCCCACTGCTGCTAACACAGTGGCACTAAGAGGGAAACTCTGTCTCCCTGGGGTACATGTGACACGCCTGGAAACACTTCAGCTACAACTCAGGTGGGAGGAGGGGCCACTGTCACCCAGGGGTCGAGACCAGAATGGATGTTTCATCATTCCTGGTGTCGGGGTAGACACTGTGGCACAGCGGTGAAGCCTCCTCTGCTTGGGACCCTCACGTCCTGCGGGCCTGGCACTAGGTCCCAGCTCTCTTCTCACTCCAACTTCCTGCTAACACACACCCCAGGAGGCAGCAATGATGGCTCCGGTACCTGAGTTCCTGTAACCTGTGACAGACCCAAACTGAGCTCTGGGACCCGTGATCTCAGCCTGGACCAACCCCGGCTATCACAAACACTGGAGAAGCAAAGCAACAGACAGACGATCCCCTTTTCTGTGTCACTCTGCCTTTCAAATAAACATTTTTTTAACAAATAAATAATGAGCTAGCACATCAACTATATGCCACACCCCGTACTATATATTGTAAACCTAATCAAATGACAACATTCCCTTTCTTTCCCAGGTGCCCAGTAGTCCACCTCCCTCCCACCTCAAGAATTCTCCATTTCTATCCATTCCTAATTTAGTAATTGCCACTGTAATCAATTTTGGTAGGGACACAACTCAAAGTGTAAACAAACTTTCAGTTTGACACAGACTGCATCCAATTCTGCCTAGGTCAAAAATTGAAGGTATTCATATTTGCACAGTGCCAACAGTGAGCTGACTGTGGGTATGGACCCGCCAACTATTAGATACGTTGGTACTGTTTCTAATATTTACTTAGTTATTTGGGGACTGGTGTTGTGGAGCAGCAAAACAAGCTGCTGCCTGCAATGCCAGCATCCCATACGAACACTGGTTCCATTTCTAACTGCTCCACTTCCAATCCAAGTTCCCTACTAACACAGCCCGAAAAGCAGAACACAGCCTACATGTGGAAGACCTAGATGGAATACCAGGCTCTGGGTTCAGCCGAGAGCACTAACATTTGGGGCCATTGAGGGGATGAGTCAGTGGATTGAGGATTAATCAATCCACTCTACCACTTTATCTTTCAAATAAACAAATTTTTGAAATCACAAGATGCTCAAGTATCAGTGGCTCCATTCCCCATCTATCTCTCTGCTAATGCACATGGATGGCAGCAGGAGACCGCTGAGGCCCTGGGTTCCTGCCACCCACATGGGGACCTGGAGGGAGCAGAGCTCCTGGCTCTGACTGGGCCCAGCCCTGGGTGCTGCAGGCGTTTGGAGACCGAACCAATGGATGGAAGATCTCAATCTCTTTCTCCCTGTTTCTCTCTCTCTCTAATGCTATGTCTTTCAAATAAAACAACTCTTGAAGAATAAAACTACTCTAAATTACACATTTTAGTAAAATGCTGATTAAAATGTACAATTTATGTAACCTTTGTGTATTAAAAACAAAGAAAATTTTGGTCCAAGTTCCACCCAGTAGTATTATCTTATGCTAAAGACCACCCTGAAGGGAAAAGTCAGCTTTAAGCATGAATCTACAGACCCTAACCTGATTTACCTTTCTCTGAATTACATGGAAAAAGGTAGAATATTCCTAATTACAATACAAAAAGTGATATTAATAAGTTAATATTTAAAAAGGGGTGGAAGATGTCATCCTAACACTTCAACCAAAGACCAGTAAGATATTAAAATACACATTTTTTGGTATCAGATACACTTTAGCAAGATTTTCACATGCTAGAAATGAAAAAAGATTTCTAGTATAGAATACGGTCTTTAGGACCTATGACTTTATTTTTATTGAACAGGAAGATTTACAGAGAAAGAAGGAGAGACAGAGAAAGATCATGTATTGCTGGACTGGTTCACTCCCCAAGTGGCCACAATGGCTAGAGGTGTATGAGCCAGGAGCCAGGAGCCAGGAGCCTCCTCCAAGTCTCCCACATGGCTACAAGGTCTCAAGGACTTGGGTCGTCTCCACTGCTTTCTCAGGCACATCAACAGGGAGGCAGATAGGAAGTGGAGCAGCCAGGACTTGAACCAGCTTCCATATAAGTTGCCAGCACTGCTGGTGAAAGATGAGCCAACTGAGCCACTAGAACGGCCCCTAGGACCTGTGACTTTTAAATATTATTTTTTCCTATAACTGTTCTTATCATCATTTAAGTTTTACCCAGAGGTCTACATTCCTTTCACTTTAACTCCAAAATTCTGTCACAAACTTTTCATTACTCATTTAGTAGAAAAACATAAGAAACAGCATCAAGTTATTTACAATATTTACCCCAGTTAGTGTGAACATCAAGTTAACTAGAGAAACAGCCGGATCACAGGCTGTTGCCCAGCTCTCTCTGTAGTGTCACAAAGCACAAACTACATGTACCATATTTCTTTCCTAACATCCCAAAATTTCTCATCCCAGGAGCACATCTGGTCCCAAGAACTTTTGGCCCCAATATGGACTGTCAGAGTAATTAAAAGACTTCTTCTTATAAAGGAAATACAGCTTTATTCAAAATTATTATTATTGAAAATCATGGTACATCTTCATATACAAGTTCAATGTCTTAACAATTGTCTCTCCCTCTCTCACACACATACTCACTCATTCACTCCAGAAAAATATATATTCAAAAAAATTTTTTTCAACAAATGTCAAAAAACTGAGTATTCCAATTTATTTTTCAAGCAATGCTGACATTCGCATCCTCTAATATCTAAATCAAGTCCACTTGATTTAAAATCCACTGACTGAAATCACAGTTAAACAAAGGCAAAGAATGGACTACTAATCGCATTGAAAAAAAGAACTATCCACTGATAAACACCATGCTCAGTAAAATGTTCTGATTTTTCAAAAATTAATCAGAGAGGGTTCAGGACTTAAAATTTAACTCTAGAAGATAAGCTCTGCCTGTCTAACAAACTACCGCCAACTTCTCTGTGCAAGTGGGGCTCTGGAAGAGGATGGATGCACAGACAGCCCTTAAGGATATCGGAACAGGAGGAAGAGTTCCACAGCTCTTCCCTTCCTTCCTCCTTTAGTTGTTGCTTTTCTGGTTTTAGAATTTCAAACAAAGAAATACATATTGGCTCCGAAGCTAACAAACGCCCTCTTTCTCTGCAACTTCCTCTTCCAATTTTCCTCTCTACCATTAACAAATGAGAACAATACCCACAGCCAGTCAGTCCCCTACCATCTTGATTAACCAAAAGCTCTGGGGTTTGGGGGAAAAAAATTGAGGCTATAATTCCTAGTACCCAATGACCTCCTAATCTAAAATCTACAATCTTGAAACTGGGGTTTCAAACAGCACCAAGAGGTAAGAAATTTGAACTGACAAACGGGAAACTTGTTCCATCCCAAGAAATTCCGGCCTTCCTCAAGAGGAGAAAAAAAAAAAAAAAAGCTTCTGGGCTGGCACCGCCCTGCCCTGCCTTCCAAGTCTCCTCACCAATAGATGGTGAACTTCCTCCTAGAGGCCATGCGACCAGCATTCAGACCAGGCTCCCTCCCCGGCCTCCTAACTTCACAGTGACTTTTATAACACAGGACTGGTCCTTTGCACCCCACAGATGGGCAACAGGGATGGACTACTTAATTAATCCTCCAGACATCAAGATCAGCCCGGCTCCCCGCCACAAATCAGACGTGTCTGAGACCGGCCCCCTCCCTCAGTTTCTAACAAAGCAAACTTCCCTCCTCTTCCTGCCTTGTAAGTGATCTAAGTGACTTACTCTTTGCCCTTAACATAGTTCAGTTCTGCTTTTACTGTGTGACCCTGGAAAAGTGACTTAACTCCTCTGAAATCTGGGTTTCCTAGGTGTAACGTCTCAAAAGTAGCTACACAATTTTTCAGTCAGAACCAGAGGCATGGTAGACAACAACAAATAAACTCTCCTCTAACTGGGTACTGATTCAATTCCAACCCCGGCCCCCCAAAGATGCTCTGCTCTTCCCTATGGGGCACCCGCTCAAAAACTATCCCATCTGAAGCTCTGAGATTGCTGTAGACCCAAGACCCATCCCACGACTGCATCCCCGCGTGGCCAGAGAGCCGCTCCGGCCGACTCTGCTTCCTCAGCAGGCCCTCCTGTCAACCACACGGGCCCGGTCTCCGGCGAGGCCGCCAGGCACGGAAACTGATGCTGGGCCTGGGTTCGAACTTGCTCCCCCGCCCCAGGACCTCCCACGAGAGCCGGCCCTTCAACTCTTCTGCGCCCACTGATAAAGCTTTTACAAATGGAGAAACCGAGGTCAACAGAAGGAAGTGACTCGCTCAAGATCACCCCGACAGAGCGGGAGGCAGAGCCAAGTCCCGGGCGGGACATTCGGGGGGGCCTCTCATACTTGCAGGACCCTCCAAGTCTCCGAGGGGACTTCGAGCCACCCCGCTTAGGTTGGGGCGCGGGGGGGAACTAAGGAAAAGGCCAGCAGGCGCTGACGGCTCGCCCGGCCTCCGCCGGTCGGCAGCAGGAGGCGCGGCACCCCATCTCCCCCGGGACCCGGCGCGGTGCGCGAGGGGCGGCCCCGCCGGGGTCCGTGCCTTACCGCGGGGCCCGCCCAAGGGGACTTGTTGCTCACCTGGCCTCGCGCGGTCGCCCTCAGAGACAAGAAGGGCCGGCCGGACGCCCCGTCTCCACACGGGGTGTGGCCCCGCGAACCGCCTCACGGGCTGCCACACAGCCGGACCCCCCTCACTGCGCTACGCCCCCAGTCGCGCTCGCCCGGCCCGTGTCCGCCATTACGCGATTCCCCGCCCCGAGACGCAACCACACCCCGCCAAGAGCTCTGATTGGTTCTCTGCCCCACCCACCCGGCCCTTGCAGACATTCCATTGGCCTGAGTGGAATGCCAGTTAAATACCTACGCAAAAGACGTACTCAGGGGTACCGTCCCGGGAGCTCCACCCGAGAGACTTCCGCAATCAGAGTAAACAGCGGGGCGCAGACCAAGTGAAGTGGGGGTGGAGATTAAATCACGTCGACTCCTAAATTCGGAGTATAAAAATCCGCCCCCAACAAAGTGTAAAGTACATTAAAGGACGAATTCTCCTCATTAGGGTTCAGAGGATCGATATGTTTGACGGGCAGAAGGGGCCAAGCTCATAAACTTTCTGGAATCACCCCTCAAGTTGCAGTTAGTTGTATCTCTTTAGTGTGTAACCGGCGGAAAGTAGGGTGGGGAGTGTGAGTCACAGGTTCCAGTCCGCTGAAGTATCCATCCGGGGCGAGGTTCGGTTCCTGGGGCCGCAAACTTGGTCAGAAATGCCAGTGTCAGGCCCGAGTGCAATGGGCCACCCTACCTTGCGGCGACCTCAGCTCCCTGAGCCCATCTGGTTCTCAGTTTGTCCTTGTGCAAAGCAGGAGCGTTCTCTCTACCTCACCTCCTGGGGTGGGGTTGTTGCGAAGGCATGCCTGAGTGACCGACCCTTCACGGCGACTTGTTAAAACCAAAAGGTTGCAGCTGGGTCGCAGTGTGACCCAAGAAAGCTCATCCTCTTCTCCAGAGGAAGCCTGTGAGGCACATGCTGCCCTCATTTTTGCAAAAGAGGAAATCGAGTCTCTGCCGGTTGCTTGATTTAGTCACCCGGTTTGAAGCCCGGGGGGCGGGGGAGGGTTTCAAACCTGTATTGAGGATTTTCCAGAGTGAATGAAAGATGTGTCTGATGAAAAGAAAACAAAGTGTGGACTTCAAAAGTGTTCTGCACCAAAACAAACTTTCCTTTCAATTCCACTTTGCCATCAACATTTTGAGGTAACTGGAAGGCATCTGTCTTCAGCTTTCACTTCCTGTATTTCTTCCTCCTCAGCTCCTTCCTTAAGGAAGCCGGGCCAGTCCCTCTGGTCTGAGACCAGGTCATCCTCCAGCCAGGGTTAGTCACCAGGGTTCCTGAGGAAGAGGGACTTGAGGGGTGTGCCCGTGCTGTTTCTGGCCGTTAGGAATCTAGAGGGAAGGAATAGATGGCTGTGAGGCCAGGACATGGGGACACCACGTGGGGGCCGTGGGCGTGTTGGCCTGCAGGCCAGGACCTCACCCCAGGTCTCTCTGGGCTCTCTGTTCCCCACAGGCTTGTTTTTTTTTTTTTGTTTTTGTTTTTTTTTTTTCCCAGCAGGGCTGTCCTGGCTGTTGTTCCACGTCCTTTTCCCTCACTGGAAAGGAAGAAGGCCAATAAGGGAGTGGGAGGGGGAGCAGCCCAAGACTTCAAGAAGGGTAGAGTCAGCCAAATGGGTGGTGTCACCAGAGCCTCCACGTGTCATCTGCATTGGTGTCCTCCCAGCTCACATTGGGACATGTGGTCTGAGACCAATGACTATTTTAATTCCAGCTGAGGCCTGCCGGGGGCTGGGAGGCAGCTGTGCAGAGGGCAGTGCTTTGGGGGTCAGACTGACCTGAGCTTGAATCCAAGCTCCACCACTTTGGAGCTTTGAACCTCGCCAACTCCTTCTTTTAAATGGGGCCACATGCCAGTTGTGAAGACACAATGAATTCGTTGTGCTAGTAATGAACCATTGCAGGTAAAATCCTGGTAGTTATTTATTCATTCCTGGATTCACCCGTTCAGTAAGAAATCACGAAGCACCTGCAGGCAGTAAGGGCCACCTACTGATGGCTCAGCCACAATGGTGAATAAAATAGACCTGTCAGAGCTTGGAGTCTTCAAGGAGAAACATCTCTGGGTACAGATGCTCAGGCAAATCAAGACACAGAAATGGGATAAGGAACCAGAAGTGAAAATAGGATGAGTTTTTGATAGTATCAGGTGACCTGGTGGGGTCAAAGGAAGTTTCCAGAAGATGTAATGCCTGGAGTGAGGTGGTGTGGGAAGTACATCTGTTAGTGAAGATGGGAGGCTGGCAGAAGCTTTGCTGACCAAAGGAAGGGTGGAGTGTGGAAGCAACGTAGGTCAGGGGACAGTGGCAGCAGGGATAGTGGGCCGAGCAACCAGGGCTAGCACACAGCCTAGGGAGAGTCCTGGTGATTGCTGAATGAATGATAATTACAAGGAAAGGAAACTGACTTGAAAAGTAAGGCTGTTCTCTGATGGTCTAATACCCCCAAAATACATGCAGACAGTGAGACAGACCACCCCGAGTTCACTTATTCATTCATTACCTTCTTTCAGAAAGCAGAGAGCCCTCCCTTTTGTTGATTCGCTTTCAAAATGTCTGTAACCACCAGGCAGAACTGGGACTCAAACTCAGGCCCTTCATTGGCACAAGATGTGGGCATCGTAACCAGCATCTCAATCTGCTGTGCACAGGGCTCACTCCCTGCCTAGGTTAAAGTCTGTGTTTTATTTTAATTTTTAGTGTAGTTTTTAAAGATTTATTTTTATTGGAAAGGCAGATATACAGAGAGAAGGAGAGATAGAAAGAAAGATCTTTTATCTACTACTGATTCACTTCCCAAATGGTCACAGTGGCCCGGAGCTGAGCCGATCCGAAGCCAGAAACCTCTTCCAGGTCTCCCAGGTAGGTACAGGATCCCAAGGCTTTGGACTGTCCTTGACTGCTTTCTTAGACCACAGGCAGGGAGCTGGAAGGGAAGTGGAGTATCCGAGACACGAACTGGCACCCACGTGGGATCCCAGCGAGTGCAAGGTAGTGCTATAGCCACTAAGCTACCACACCTGGTCCCTATTTTAATTTTTTGTAAAATTGGAAAGTCAGATATACAGAGAGAAAGAGAAACAGAGAGGAAGATCTTCCGTTCAATGATTCATTCCCCAAGTGGTCACAACAGCCGGAACTGAGCCAGTTTGAAGCAAGGGGCTTCTTCTGGGTCTCCCATGCAGGTACAGGGTCCCAAGGCTTTGGGCCATCCTCAACTGCTTTCCCAGGCCACAAGCAGGGAGCTGGATGGGAAGTGGGGCGGTCAGGAAATGAACCGGCACCAAGTAGGATCCTGGCGTGTACAGGATGAGGACTTTAGCCACTAGGCTACCACATCAGACCCCCTGTTTTAAGATTTGTTTACTCGAAAGGCAGAGCTATGGGGGGGGTGGCGAGGAGAGAAAAAGAGATCTTCTATCCACTGATTCACTACCCAGATGGCCACAATGGCTGGCTGGATCAAGCTGAAATAAGGGTCAGAAGTCTCCCTGTAGGTGCAGGGGCCCAAACACTTGGGCCATCCACCACTGCTTTTCTCAGGCCATTAGCAGGAAGATGCATTGGAAGTAGAACAGCTGGTACTTAAACTGACACCTATATGAGATGGTACTGTCTCAGGTAGCTTGACTTGCTATGCCACAAAGCCAGTCCTCTGGACTTCAATCTTGGACCTACCACCTCACCTCACAATGCTTGAGCCTGAGCATTCACTGAGCCTGGCAGTTCCTCGGCCAATTTCCTGAAGAATGGGCACAGTAACAGTGGCTATTAAGTGACACAATAATTCTCTATTTGGGACAAATGCCACAGAGTATCTGGTTGAGACCCAGCTATTGCACTTTAGATTCAGTTTCCTGCTAATGAACACCCCTGAGAGGCAGCAGGCGATGACTCCAGGATTTGGGGCCCTGCCACCTACCTGGAAGATTCCGGTGGAATTCTGGGCTCCTGGCTTCATTCTGGCCTGGCCCTGACTTTTGCAGGCGCCTGGAGAGTGAATCAAAGGAAGGCAGATATCTCTCTTTCAACCCATCAAGTAAAATAAGGGCTGGGGGTAGGCCAGGTTAGGTACCCATTGGCCTAACCTGGGTCTGAGGCAGGCCTGGAAATAGTCCTCAGGGTTAGGGTTAAGGTGCTCCCAGCTAGGCCACAGCACGTGAGGTGCGTCTGTCTGAGAGCCAGGTCTGGAGACTAGCTGGGCTGGGCTAGGGTGCAGTGCTCACTGGCATGCACAGGGGCCATGTCTGTGTGCAGGCCTGGTTAGGGTACTGGGGGATTGCTCTCACCAAGCTGCCGCACCCCTGGCACATGTGAAACCAGGTCTTGGGCTGGGTTGGGCTGGGCTGCAGTGCCTGCTGGCACACAGGACAGCCGGATCTGAGGAGTAACCCAGTAGGAGCTCTAAGGAGTTGGCCTGATAGAACCACTCCAGTCAATCCCCAACCTCAGGAAACACGACATGGGCATCTGATCTGGCCTCGGAGCATATGTGATAGGACTGGGCCACCATTTCTGACTCCGTGTAAGGAGAGACAACATACTGGGGTACACACAAAAGACAGGATTCAGGCCTACCACAGTGGCCTAGTGGCTAAAGTCCTCACCTTGAATACACTGGGATTCCATATGGATGCCAGTTCTAATCTCAACTGCCCTACCTCCCATCCAGCTCCATGATTGTAGCCTGGGAAAGCAGTTGAGGACGGCCCAAAGCCTTGGGACCCTGCAGCTGCATGGGAGACCCGGAAGATGTTCCTGGCTCCTGGCTTCGGATTGGTTCAGTACCAGCCATTGAGGGCGCTCGGAGAGTGAATCAGTGGATGGAAGATATTCCTTTCTATCTCTCCTCATCTCTGTATATCTGGCTTTGCAATAAAAATAAATCTTTTTTTTTTTTTTAAAGGCAGCTGGATTTTTTGATTCAAAGAGGACCTTGGGTATCTCACATTAAAAAAAAAAAAAAAAAGGAAAGAGCAGGTTGAATAACGCTATAGGCCAAATTCTCCTCCAAGCATCTAAAGCAATGGACACACCAATACACAGACAACTGAAAAGTATGGGAAGCATTATCTCATACCTGATGCAAGGAAGTCAGCACCATCTCAGAACAGTTGAGACTATTCAAGT